TTTTCTATAATTAAATAAATATATCTATATATATATATGAATGATGATGAAGATAAATGATATTTATTTAATATTCTAAATTTTGGATGAAAAAAAATATTATTTTGTTTGCTATGTTTCACTTTTTGATCTTAATGCTTCTAAAGGGACAGCTACCTAATAACAAATGCATCTGCTAGAGTGATATATAAAATACAAGTAAAAAAGAAACAAAAAAGCCAGAATTAGCATCTTTAAAAAAAGACAAACATATATTTCTATAGTCATTCTTCATAGTACTTTTACTAGCATGATAAGTTAAAATATCTGTAGGGAAAGATTCCAATGAGATGGTTGGCTCATGGGTGGACTGATTTTTAGAACCCATGGGCTGAGCCGTGTCAAAAGTCAACAGCCCATGAGCTGACTTTCTTCGGTCCGATCCGGTCCAGGCTCATTGAGACTTCTGATTAGGACGTCCTGCTACAATATCAACATCAGTTTTTCAACAGCAAATAAAAACATCTATGGAATTAAAGAAAGGAGTATCAATTAGAAATGTAACATCAATTTTGCATATAAAAAGGAATAAAATGTTCCACACAAACTGTGTATATTACTGCACGAAAATTAAAATAAAAATGGTTTAAGTTGAAAAAATCTCAAAAACTAACCAATAGTAATCAAATTAGAAGAGTAATTTGTGCTAAACAATTAAGAATGAAATTTAGAGGGTGTGGGTATGAGTGTGAGGTGCGGGTGTTAGTGTGACTGCCAGTGGGATGCACACCTACATCCACACCCACACACTCCCCAATGTTTGGTTTTGATGCTGAATGTTTATTGGAATATTTTTAAACAACATAGCATCAGCTTTATGCCAAGAACCGCTACTTAAATACCTAAAAGGGTGTGGTTGTGTAGATGTGAGAAGATGTGCGTGGGTGTTGATGAGGATCTTCTCTTCAGCTGCAGCCATAGCCACATCCATCCACACCCTACCAACACTTAGAACTACAAACCTACATTCAGATCCATACCCATCCTCATATAGATTTGTTAATTAATTCAATTCTTAGAAATGAAATTAAAAAATTAATTGAGTATAATACTGTAATTGATAATGATATATTACAAAGTAAAACACCATTATTTTATCATTTACAAAAATATATATTTATTCAGTCAATTGTATTATTATTTAAACCATCTTTATTCGATCAAAATTAAAATAGAAAAACAATTATCAATCAACAACAACAACAACAACCAGATTTTGATTTTATTTTAAAAATGCTTAATTTTTTCATCAAATTAATCACAGATAAATCATTAATAAAACAAAATCAAATCGATTTAATTCTATCAACATTATTTGCGATACAATTAATTAAACTAATATTTGATTTATTTTTTGTTAGCTCCAACACATCATTCCGCAATAATTATTATTCATTAATTTACTACGTAAGTGAATATTGTCATAAAAACTGATTACATAAATTGATATGCATCCGTAAATCACTGCATTTGAATCTCATCATCATTAGTCATAAAAAGCTACATGCTTTGAAACATTTCTCCGATAGTAAACTAAGGATTTATAGTACTGTGAATTTAGCTCTGAATTTTTCTTCATATTATTGAATAACAAACGATTTTTTTTTTGTACTCTATAATTTCTTTCTATTCGATAGTTTACTTCATACAAGTAAACATTTTAACTTAAATGAAAAAATTCAACAATTTTATATTCAATTATTAATTGAATTATCATCAATAGCAATGTCACAAAGCAATTGTTCGATTAAAAGTCTTCTAATGGTTTTAATAGATTTGATATTTATTTTATTAGAAAAACAAAAAACTCAACATATTGAAAATAATACTCAAATTAAATATTTACTTACAACAATTAATGTTGTTATTTCTTGGAGTGATCCAACAAAACAAACATTATTACCTGAAGAATTTCTTCAACAATGCAAATGATATTCTAGATAATGATATTCAATTAAATCAAGATGATTTTAATAAAATCGCTGATCAAGATCTAATCAATAATGACGAATCACTTAATGATTCATTTTTGAAATTTATTGAAAATCTTTCAATCGAATCTCAATCCAATTCAACATTCTTTAAAAATTCTATTTATCTTTATCAAATATCCTTATTGATTCTATACAAATTCGTGCTCAATTTTTTATATTTATTGAATAAATGTGTTGAGAAAAATCTTTCATTAGTCGATTTAAGTTTACCAACAGGATAAAATTTTCTAACTGATCAATTTCAAAAAATAAAATCTTATTTATTATTTTCAAAAAAAAAATTCAATTATTTCAAGAAACTTTAGAAAAAATTCAATTGAGATCTGATAGTGATTGGAATATGATTAATTTTGATATACTTAAATCTAGTGAAAATACAATGTTCTATCAAGCTTATCAACAATTACATATAAAAGCTCATATAAATATTTCGACGACCAAATGAACAATTTTGGTATGCACAATATATTGGAATGCATAGCACTGATTATGGTGGAGCTTATCGTGATTCTATAACTTGTATTTGTTTTGATATATGCTCATCACGATTATCATTATTTATTTTATGTCCAAATGGACGTACATATATACTGGTTTAAATCGTGATTGTTGAATTTCAAATGTATTTCCACTAAATAAATCTATATCAAGTAACTATAAAAAAATAATATCGTTTTATTGGACAATTAATTAGTATGGCTATAAGAAAAAAACATTATTTAAATATTAAATTTCCTAGATTATTATAGAAAAAATTGCTAAATGAATCAATTACTGTGAAAGATATTCAAGATATTGATTTTGCAAAGTTTTACAATTATAAATGAAACAGAAAAAAATATTGAACAAATTGATTATATTTAACAAGGTTTATATAGTATTATCCCATATTATTATTTAAATTTATTTACTCCTAAAGAACTTGAAGAAGTTGTTTGTGGAAAAGATCAAATTGATATAGAAATTTTAAAATGAAATACTTTATATGGTGGTGATTATAATGAATATTCATCACTGATTAAATGATTTTGGTCTGTTCTTAATGAAGTGTTTAATAATGAATAAAAGAAATTATCTTTAATCTTTGTTTGGAATAGAAGTACATTACCTATTCGAGATGAAGATTTTCAATCGAAATTTATTATTACTTCATACGATGTTTATCAAGGTGAAATTGATCAAACACTTCCGTGTAAGTTTGATTCATTGAAGATCATTAGAAGAAAAAAAAAAGTCTGATAAGGAAGTATTTAACAATGCTAAATGTATTTACATTATTAATAAATTCAGCATAGCTAAATACTGTCTCAATAAAAAAATTCTCTTCAATTTATTTGTATTATTTATTTTAGAATAACATGCATGTTTTTCTACTCTTGATTTGCCTGCTTATTCAACAACTGATATTATGTATAAACGTTTAAATTATGCTATTACTTTTTGTTCAAGTATAAATGGTGATAGTACTGGAAACAATGCATTTAATGATGAAGATTTTGATTTAGATGATATTAATGACGATGAATAAAAGATAAGCAAGTATGTTTATTTTTACTAGTGGCTCTGTGATTGAAATGGTATCTATTTTTTCAACTTGAAATAAATTTCAATTAACTAAGAAAATAATGTTCAACATGATTAGAAAAAAAACTTTCGTTTGCATATCTTGATATATACTATTTCAGTCGATTCCTTTCATTATTTATAAATATAGAAAAATGAAAATGAGTAATTTTTTCAGACTAAATTTCATTGTTAAACAAATATAACACCAATTCAATAATAACTGAGCAATAGTGAATTATCTACATAGAAAATAAAGAAAACAGATAGCATATTGCGAGCGTGCTTGTGGGTCTGCATTTTGGTAGTATCCAACTAGACCTATCACACCCACATGCACGCCTTCTCTTAAGATTATCTTATATCTCGGTCATAATAAATTGACAACAAAAGTTCTTTAAAAGTTGTACTAGCCTAGTAGCCTTCTACTTTTGAGCATAATATAAGCTTTAAGTATTATAATAACCTAGGTGATTTTCTTCCTCCTTGGATGTTTCTAGAAAATAACGGACTCTTCTGTATTTCAGGTAGGAGTCACAAATCATAATTTAGTTTAAAGCTATTTTCTATCGACTTCTGATCTAACGAGCATAAAAAGTTCGATAAAAAAAATCTTTTCCCCAGATATAATTGGATATCTATGAATTTATACTAAGGCTTAACACGAGTGGAAAAAAATTTTTTTCTTACTCTTCTCGAAGAGATGAAATTAGATATAATGGTTAACATTTCATTATTTGCTGTAGAAACATGCTTTGCAAAGCAAATAAATGAATAAAAGAAAAAAAAAGTGAGCAGTCAATAGAGATAAGAGTATATGGCAATGAAGAAGTTATTCTGTGAGGTCATATTGTATTTGTAGATTATAACTGAGTGAATCAACAAAAACATTGGATGTGGGTATCAGTATATTATAAATAAAAGCTCATATTCATTTTGATCAAATACTGAGCCAATACGAATATGCCTGATAACACGCCAAAGAACTTAAAAGACCCCTATGCATTTCTACAGTATTGACGCCTCAAAATGACTTTTGATGTCCAAAATTTTGCTTGATTTTGACATAAAAAACTCGCGTCACTTTTCTGCACAGAATTACTAATGAACTATCAAAAAATGGTTAGGAGTCCGTTTTCCATTGCTTATGTGTCCTTGTCCTCTCAGTTTGAATTCGAAGTCATTTTTAAGCAGACTCCGACTTAGATTCAAAAAGCACCAAAATTGCCATTCTTGATGATATGTTTTGGAGTGTGCTTGATAAAATTCAGAAAGAGATAAGCGAAAAACAATAGATAAACATAAAGGTGGGTGCAACGATCATATGTAGCATTATTTTTATTGTAACTGCAAAATTGCGGTAAGATTTGAATTGCTTGTTTAATCTATTCAACAACCACTAACATGATAAAAAGACGTGAAGGCACTAGTTTAGTGATAGTAAATGACTCGGATGAAGACGAACGACTACCACTATTATCATGTGATTCTGATCAGCAAAAACAGCAGCAAAATGAGCGCCTTATACCGAGTCCAGAAGAGGAAGTAGAACAAGGTGCAATCACGTCAGCGAATGAGAATGAGACGACAACCAAGTCTGCTCTGAGTGAATATGTAGCGGAACCATCTTTGATAGGCTCCCTCCGATGTGCAGCTATGCCTGCCCGTTATGTTGTCGCTATCTGGGCTTTCTTTGGTTTTCTTTGTTTATATGCACTACGTGTAAATATTTCGTTGGCAATTGTTGCTATGGTTAGTCATCTAGCCGATCTGCATACTATAGGGCACTCATCAAAGATAGTTTTCTTCCTCATATATAAATTAGGTACCTCCACAAAGCGCACTCAATCAATCAGTTCGATCATGTCCAATATCGAACACAAGTTCCCCAAAACCATCTTCAGTTTGTCTTTTCTATTGTTGATTTAAATCGAAAATACATCTTTGTTCTTGTTTTATAGAACTACGAATTTGATTGGAAACCATCTACTCAAGAATTTATTCTTGGAGCTTTCTTCTACGGCTATATTCTCGCTCAAGTGTAAGCGTACATTTATTGATATCTTGTTTTCTATGATTTTTGTTCTATAGAATTGGAGGTGATACAATAAAACATAAATCATCTAGTTATCGTACTCCTAATTGTTTTCTTATTTTTATTGTCAGGCAATTTAGCCGAAAAATTCGGTGCCAAATGGATCTTTAGTGGAAGCATATTGATAGCTAGCATTTTGACATTATTAACGCCACTGGCAGCTCGAGCTCACGTTAGATTACTCATTGCAATTCGGATCTTAATTGGCTTATTCTCGGGTCCTGTATTCCCGTCCGCAGCAGCTCTTTGGGGAAAATGGGTGATTATTCATACTACTACATCTGAATTCTAAATATCTCTTCGCTTTAATGCTTTAAACAGATTCCATCTTCGGAGCGAAGTACTATTCCACCAATCTCTCAATCCGGAAGTAATTTTGGGATCATATTTACCACACCACTTATTAGTCTTATGAATGATTCATCGTTTCTTGGCGGATGGCCATCGGCTTTTTATGTGTTTGGTAATAAGAAAGTTTAAAAGCTAACAACATATGGTTCATATCTACTTATATCTAGGAGCAATCGGGTGTTTGTGGTTTGTCGGATGGTGTTATTTTGGTTTCAATTCGCCCAATGATCATCCACGAATCACAAATGAAGAACGTTTGTATTTAGCCACACATACAATAAACATCTCTCGTAAGGTATTGAAGACGTAATTTTAGTTGTATGTTCAATGTTTGTTTTCGTGTACCTGTTTGCATAGCATTTAAAGACACCATGGAAAAGTATTGTTCGCTGTCCACCTGTCTATGCCATCGCTATAATGCAAATTTGTACTAATTATGTCTACTATACATTGTTCACTTCGTTATCTACTTATTTTGCGACTGTACTCAATTTTGAACTTCAACAGGTAAACAGATCTTCGAGGTCCTGTGTATTTCAACATATAATAGATGGAGCCTTTTCTTGAATGGAAATAGTTATTTAGGAAACTATTTTCATCCATTCGATATTCAGCTTTTTGGAGTCGAAAATCTTTTCGACATCTATCATTCGATTATATACAGAGTGTCCTATCATTCTCGGATACCCTGTCAGATTTTGAATATAACAAAAGATTTCGTTAATGAAAGAAGGGTTCATTTTTAATCTGAAGTCATATCTATGGACACCTAGTAGCAGTATAGTATCTGTAATATTGATTGGAATTTGATCAATTAATATTCATGAATAAATCCAGAAACTTTCAAATCTCAGCTGTCCCTTAATTATAGGACATCTGCATCCTAACTATAAGAATTTTGGATTAATATTAGTTTTACCAACTCAAATGATCCTTTTTTAGCATTCATTTGAAAGAGAATACTCTCAGCTATATGAAGACAAGAAAAAGAAATAAGCATTGATCTCTTTAATATAATACAAATGGATTTAAACGATCTTTAGATTGTACCATTAGATAGAGCATCTGAAGCTACATAGATGGCATAGACTTTGGGAAATGACTTTAAGACTCTTAGTAATTTTGGAAAGGTGCACTGAAGATATTTGAAACATCCTTTTGTATGGAGACCATCACAAAAACCTCTGTTTTTATGAATGAAACCTGTGATTCCATAACAAAAATGCTTCTAAATTTCTTGATAAGTGTATCAAAAGAAAGACCGTCAAATTCTGCACAAGATAGGCTATTTTTACTTCGTTATAAGTTAATGAAAAAAAATTTCAGAACATCTCTTGTCTGGCCTCTCAATTTTTCTCATTTTTTCAGCAGAATGAGCCATCTTTTTGTCCACTTTGTCAGAGGATATGTTTGAATTAGCATATGATTAGTAAGAGTCTTAAAGTCATTTATCAAAGTCTATGTAATCTATGCAGCTTCAAATGCTCTATCTAATAGTACAATTTAAAGATCGTTTAAATCCATTTTCATTATATTAAAGAGGTCAAAACTTATTTCTATGGAAGTGTATAGTCATGATGTAAATACTTACCTATTCTACCATTTAGTTTCTTAGGTAAGAGGAAAGCTAAATTAGTTTTTTCTCATATAGCTGATGTGAGAATGTTCTGTTTCAAATGAATGCTAAAAAAGAATCATTTGAGTTGGTAAAACTAATATTAATCCAAAATTCTTATATTTAGGATACAGTTATCCTATAATTATGGGACAGCTGAGATTTGAAAGTTTCTGAATTTATTCATGAAAATTAATTGATCAAATTTAGATCAATATTACAGATATTGGAATAAAAAGCATGATCTATAAGTCAAAGATTAGATGTTCAAGATTGAGGAAAAGATTCTGTTAATTGTGATTTAAAATAAGTATAATACTTTCCTTATTGAAAAAAATTAATAAAACATTATCATCAATATAGAATGGTTTTCTTGTTACTTTGCCACATCTGGGACAATTTTTGTTTACCATCATAACCGGTCAAATCATTGATCGTATTCGAGCTCGTAATATTGTCACAATTACAACACTACGAAAAGTCCAGACTATAATTGGTAAGAGTTAGATACTAAATAGTTTAGCTATAGCATGTTCATCATTGTTCATTATCAAACTTAGGTGGTTTGGGTTCTTGCTCATTTTTGGTTGCCGCCGGCTATGTTGGTTGTAATCATGTACTTGGTGTTCTGTGCTGTACTTTGTCTGTGTCGTTTATTGGTTTACATGCGTGTGGTGCGCTCATTTCACATCTCGATGTTGCATCGAACTATGCTGGTAAGAAACGTTAAAGCTGAAAAGTATTTAGTGAAACTGTATGTGTAGGAACTCTTGTTGGTATCACAAATTCTTTGGGAACAATACCCGGTTTCGTTGGACCTTATGTAGTCGGAGTCATCACAAATAATAATGTAAGTTCTCGCTGTCTCTTCCTCTCTCTCTCTGATTACCATTTTGTTCTTGATGTCCATAAACATAGCAAACACTTGAAGCTTGGCGTATCATATTCAATATATCAGCAGGCATCGGTGCCTTTGGCTGTATTGCCTATTGTATTTTGTTCAACGGTGAGGAACAATCCTGGAATCGAGTTTACCATTACCATGATCATCCTGCATCGAACCAATAATAGACAATAAATAAAAGTGAATACTGCTATAAAACTCTATCCGTTCAATCGTTGATTCGAATCAAAAGTCAGGGTGTGGGTGTGGGTGAGTGGGGGGTGAGTGCGAGTGTGGATGTGGGTGAGTGGGGGGTGGGTGCGAGTGTGAATGTGTGGATGTGGGTCTTCTATGCATGAATACCCATACCCACACCCACACCCTAGTTTCACCATGCAGCTCTATGGAAAGTATTGAAGTATTTTTATTAGACTCAAGTAATCATTCTTGTTGCGAACTAATTTGGGTGGGTGTAGGTGTGAGTGTGTGTGAGATACGGTTAAATAGAAGACTGCCACTGACACCCACACCCGTAATCTTTAGATTTGTAGAGAAGGATGATTCGAAGTTTTTATCGATATGATATTTTCTATATAAGAGATTAGTTCGTAATAGCTGCAGAATGACAAAAGGTCTTTCGTATCATGAAAAAGAAAAAAAAGGTTATTGAAATGAATTTGTATATCTTCAATATTTTATTTTATTTAAGATAAGATGAAATTTTATAACACTCTGTATTTTGATTTATATTTAGATATATCATAGCTGGTCTTTCGACAGATTGTTTAATTGTTTTCAATGTTAATTTCAATGTTCTTAGTCAATCTCGACGTGATCCAACAATCACAATTGCAAATTCAACTAAACCAATTCAATAATTTTTTCTTCAATTTCCATTTTCTTCTTTGTCGTAGTGATTTGTTTTTTTTTGGTTTGTTAATATACTAATCTTATGAATCAATGTTTGCTATTCTATGCGCTTTCGTTTGTCGCTTTTTTATTTATCTTTCTATAAATATTCCAAATTTTTTGTTTGTATATGTATATTAATATTTTTGTTCTCTGTGAGAAAAAGAGAGAAAACTGAAAAACCAGAATTGAAAAGTACTGCTATTGAATGAAAAAAAAACCAAATCAAGCTCTCTAGTAATATTCATTCTTTTTTTTTGTTGTTGTATTTCTTTAGGTTAATTTGTAATTTATAACAATGTAAACTTGATTATCTTAAATATTTCGTTTGTCTATGGATTTTTCTGTGAATCGTTCATACTCAAGGCTAAATCAATGGTTCTTTTTGTTTTTGTTTTTTACTTCTAAACACAGTTCACCGCATTCCTTTTTGTTTTTATTATTTTTACTGCTTTACGTTTCTTTAAACCAAATAAAAATACATGAAGAAAAAAAATTCTTCTATTTAGGTTATGTATGAAATTAATATTTTAGGTAATTTCTAGGAAGAATAATGGCAGCTACAACAGGTAAGATATATAATCATATTATGCATTGACTAATCAGTCTAAAGATAAAAGTTTTTTTTTTTCTTGTCTAACCTATAAAATGTTTATATAATTAAGGCGATTCTAACAAACTCCAAGTGTTAGTACCAGGTGATATTGGTTTTATTGGTAGTCATTGTATTATTGAACTTATCAATGCTGGATATGAACCTATTGTAGTTGATAATCTATCGAATTTTTCAATAGGTACAATAGAATATATTTATTGAAAAAGTTGAAAAAATTATATATATATATAATTTTTTTTTGTAGTGTGTTTACAACGAGTTGAACAAATTGTTGGATATAAAAGAATAAATTATAAACTTGATTGTCTTGATCTTGAAGGTTTACGTGATATATTTAAAAAACATTCGACTTATGCCATTATGAATTTTGCTGCATGGAAATCTGTTGATGAATCTGTTGAAAAGCCTGTTTTATATTATAAAAATAATGTTGGTTATTTACTCAATTTACTAACAGTATTATTTGTCTTTTTTTTTTTTAAACCTATTAATCATGATTTTCTTAGTTTGTTCTTTTGTAATGTATGGAAGAATTTAATATAAAAAATTTTCTTTTTTTCATCATCAGCTATTGTTTATGGTTCGCCAAAGTATTTATCATTTGATGAAAAACATCCATATATTGGAGATTCTATTACAAATCCATATGGGAAAAGTAAACATATTTGTGAACATATTCTCAAAGATACAACCATTGCTTATCCTGTTCGTATTTAAAATCTTTTGAGAACAATTTTCATATAGTTTATTATATTTTAGAATTGAAATATAATTATTTTACGTTATTTTAATCCTGTTGGTGCTCATGAATTAGGTTTATTCGTATACATTTGAAGAAATGTTTTTTTACTTTGAATTATTTTATTTAAGATTTAATTGGTGAAGGTCCTATTGGTAGACCAAATAATCTTATGCCGTATGTTGCTCAAGTAGCTGTTGGTCGGCTACTACATATGAATGTTACGGGTACTGATCATGATACACCAGATGGAACAGGTAAAATGCAATGTTTTTTTTTTTAACTATGAACGATGATTAAATTTTATGTAGATATACGAGATTACATTCATGTTGTTGATATGACTACAGGTCATATTGCATGTATGAAAAAATTTAAAGAAAATTGTAGTCTTCAAACATGTATACAGAATTTTTTTCGATTTTATTTATTTATTTATTTTTCATGTATAGATTTATAATCTTGATACAAATAAAGATTATTCTGTTCATAGTTTATAGTAATTCTCTTCCTTGAATGATGATGTTTTATTTATTTATTTTTGACGTTTCGGTACATCAAGGTGACCTTCGTCAGAAATAGGAATGATTAAAGTTTACATAAAATTTTCAAAATATTCTCTTTTTTTTCTCTTTATATATACGTCTATATTGTTGTTTGCTTTCGTTCTTCTGCTTTGAATAACATATGGGCAAAATCATTTGCTAGCGACGTGACTTCGCAAAATTGAAATGTATATATCTCTGGACAACGAGCTTATCTAGAGCTGGTTTTTTATTTTTTCTGCGTCTATTAAGTTGCTCTAAACACCCTGAAAAAAATCAGCCCTAGAGATCCTTGTTTGTCAGAGTTATGATTAAAAAAACAGCGTTAGCGACGTGACTCAAAAAAGGACATCAACTTCCACTGCAAGCATTTCAGTTTGAAAAACCTGTGAATTGAAACACTATTTTCGGAAACTAGATAGTACATATTGCAGATGACTCTTGAAGCTACATAATACCTATCCAATGTTTTTCCTGAATACGTTGAGATTTTTAAATAAATTGAGTTTATTTGGCGTTAGCGACGTGACAGAGTACGAATAGAACGCATTGTTTACGTGAATCTTCGCTAATCTACCACAAAATCTAAGACTTCCTCTAACTAGCACATACTTCTTCGAAACCTCTTTAAAAAAAACCTTAATTATTGTTACGCAGATTTCCAGGAAGTTTGAGTATTAGACAAAGATTTTGCAGGAATTTACTTCAGCAAAAACTTACGAGGGAACGTTTCCAACTGTCCAATTGCTTTTGAGTCGAGAGTATATGCATCATGTAGCCCTTAGTTAGCTATGAATATCCTGAAAATAGTTCGGGCCCATAGCCCATCCTTGACGAAATATTGCATTTTTATGATATATTTTTATTAGAATGCCGTGGTCCCCCTCAGGTACACGAGGAAAACTGATTTTCGAATTTCGAATTGAAACGTTGCATATAAATAGGCCTCAAGAAGGAGAACTTATTGTGAAAATTTCAGATCTTTTCATCATTCCTATCCTGAAATATGAACATCGAATCTGCCTGTGTATATGATCAATATAAGACCCTAACTATTACCATATGCATATGATAGGATAGGAACATCGAAAAGATTTGAAACTTTCGCAATAAACTCTCCTTGTTAAGGCCTATCTATGTGCAAAGTTTCAAGTCGAAATTCGAAAATCAGTTTTCCTCGTGTGCTTGAGGGGGAACATGGTAACATCGAAATAAAGTGACATGTGCTTTTTTTTTTTGTTTTTCGAATTCATTTCTGGATAACTTTCAAGACTTTTCAGACAATAACGATCAAGTGCGAAAAAAACACTGACTACGATATGCTTAGAAAGCAAAATTTCACGTGATTGATTGTAAATTTGTAATTCTCGTAGAATATTGTTAGCGACGTGACTCATTTCGACTAACTACATACTCTAAAGGGACAGAATAGAGAAAAAAGAAATATACAATATACTTACTGGGTACATGAAACTATGTTTACATAGAAAGTTTGAAACTTGACCGACTAATACTTTAGGGGAAAAAAAAACTTAATGTAAAATTTCGTTAGCGACGTGACTGAGAAAATAGAAGATTTTTCCACTAAATTATCTTCAAAATAAAACAAACCTTTTTTTCTTGTCTGTGGATGGTTAGAAACAACATTGAAGGAACTCTCGACCCATACGGAAACAAATTGTTCTATGCTCTTAGTTCATGTAAAAGCGATTATGTTTTCTCACGGTAAAAATATCTTGAATTTCAAGACGCAATGGGGACTTTTAAAACATGAGATTTTCCTACTGTCTGAAATGACGCGAATTAAAAACGAACGTCGATTTCATAAATTAGAGACCATAGGCTAACACTCTGTTGCACTTTCACAAGTCTGCTATGAGGTTCAAAAAACACGAAAAATGTCCTATTCTGCCTGATTTTGCCCATATATTCATCATAATAGTTCGATAGAAGGGTTGAACTAATTATAGATTCCAGATGATTATTCTCCTATAGATATTTAGTGACACCTTTATTAATAATTATCAAATATGATTTTCAGCACTTATTAAAAGAACAAAATATATTTCTCTATACTATAGACTGTGCTCTATAAAGTAGCAATGGCGGATCGATGAAATGATGACTTCGAATTCTTGGTTAGCGAGGTGACGCGTTACGTGAACAAACCGAAATATGAAAAAGTACCACTAGATATGTCTTCAAAAGGTCAAACACGGCTCCAATTAACTTTGTTAAACAATTAAAATCCAAAATTTTATCGTTCATGTTACATGACAACATATATTATTGGTTCGCCCTAATATATCAAATATAGACGAAGAACTTTTTCTTGTGATTTAGTTAATTGTTATACAATGTCTTATTAATGTTACTATGACTTTTCGTATTATTGATGATATAAATCATGCAAGAGAGAATGAAAAAATGTGTAGATTGTTGATATCCATCTATTATTGAAACGAAACGGTCTTGGTACTCGGATCGTGTGATATTGATTAAGCAGTATGACCTATCAAAATGCTGTAGGGACTGATAAAACATAGTTTTACACGTAACTGAGTCTATTTTTCAATCTTTTTGGAGACATATCTTAAGTTACTTTTTGATATCGATACACATATTTCAGATAACTGTTCCTATTTTACAAAATATGAGTATTAATCCGTCGAAAGACATTAGACGTTCCTTTCGATATTTTTAAATATTTCGTTATCAGATATTTGTTTAACCAAATTAATAGTGTTACAAGGAGCTCACTAGCTTTTTTTTTTTTACACAGAACAGAGAATTTTGTGTATATAAAGAAGAAAAAGAATGCATGTGACTTTTTATTATTGTTCTTATCTTTATGAAGACAAAGATGAAAAAAAGGAGAACTTGATCCTTGATAAATCATAAGATCGGCATACCCTCAATACAAACTAATTGAAAGTGGCAAGCAATAAAGTCAATACAAAACTAATCTGAAATCGAAACCAGGACCAGAACTGCCAAAAAATCTGGACTGGAACTGAAAAGTGATTTTGCAGATCCCTACTAACTACACTGATACCAATATATGATCTAAAATATTATTTATGAATACAATTATTTT